TTCAGGCAGAAGTCTGCTGCTAGGTCCTCACCAAGCCTTTCTTTCCGTAGCCAAGCATTCCCAGTTCCTCTGAGGTTCTCATCATCTTGTCATCGTCTCAAGCTCCCTAATTAATCCTGTAACCTATCCATTAATCCTGTATACTGTAGCCATCTTCCATGTGGCTTGCCTCACAAGAATTGGCACTTCCTCACAACAGCCTTTAATTCTGGTAATGACACGTAGATTAAAAGAAAGGACTAGCACCTCATCTGTGTGTATGCGTACAAACAGGCCTGCAGTAGAAAATGCATTCTAAAATTTAAAAGGCCAAAACTAATTACCTCTCATTTTTCCTGCTTACTAACCTTGAGAGATGCACAAAGAGGGGAAAACCAAAAACAAGGAAGCCCTCAGAAGACCTGTTTTATGTTCACAACAATATTAATAGCTTACATTTTAAAATGCATTAATTGAACATCCAGGTACCCACATTTTATATATTAACTCCAAATAATGTATTTAAAATACTTCTTTACTAACAGCCTCAGGTCTGAGAAATGTATGAGGTTTCTCTCATTTAGATTCATTTTAAGACAGTTTTGAAGTATTGCAGTGCTTGTAATGAATGGTATTGCTTCACCATGTTTCAGTGAAAAAATTAAAACGCCATTCAATGTTTTAAAATCTCATTCATTTTCAACTGCTACTTGAGCACTGTTTCTAAAACCATCATTATGCTGCCTCCTTTGAAAAGACAGCATTTTAGGGAACACACTGAACACCAACACCTTACAAACATCACTTTGCTGTTGTAAGAATTTCTTCGTCTGTGTTTCATAATGCAAAGCACTAGAAGGTAGAGAAAAGAACAATTATGTTAACTACCTGCCAGAGTTGAGATCTTCCACTCAGTGACAGTGAGTCATTACCCCTACAAACTGTCAGCCAAGCTGCACTGGTGAGACAAATATTATTATGAGAGGATATTTTAAATATTTATCTCGAGATAAGGCTGTAAATCTACAGAGGTCAGAATAGGAATAGTTTCACAATGCTCTTTTATATACACTGAAAAGATAGAAAAGCTGTACGAGAAGCACCAAAGTAGGCATTTAAATCATGTCTTTTGCCACAGGAGTTAACAAACCTTACAACACCAGGAAAACTAAAACCTGCAGAAAACCCTACAAAAATTCAGTTCATAAAAAGGCATTGCTCACAATACATAAACATCTAAACATACACACACATCGGAAAATGACCATTATGTAGGGCAAACCCAGCCCAAGCCTAAATAATACACCTATGCAATAAATCACAGGAAATCATAAAGGCCCTAAGGGCTCTGATTATCAGCCCTGACCAGCATCACGTGGGCCTCCAGCCACCACCTCTTATCCACAGGCACAGGAGACCCTTTTAGCTCACCCATGGTTCTTCAACTCCAGCCTAAGCCATGGTGTAAGAAATGGCTGTGGACCCTTGGCTGACTTTCCAGTTTCACTTTAGATCTGCCTAGCTACTATTGGACCTAGCACTGATCCGTGGAACAACTTAGTTGGCCTCAAACATGCCACATCACCACAAACTTGCCTGACGTTCTGAACTCTTGCTCAACACTGGCTGACAGCATTGGGTGTGCCCAGCTTGTATTGTAGGATGAAGCTCTAGCTGGTGAGGTCTCTGCCCTGCAGAGAGATGTTATCACCAATGGTTTTCTATCCATTAGGGTACAGCTGTGCCTTAACAGAAATACAGAGCAGCATGGGTACAGTATTTCTAACTTACATCTGAATATACATACGTGCATGTTTCTTTTTCCACCAGATACCACTGTGCATTCGCCTCCCCTGATAACACTGAATGCTGTGTTTCTCTCGAGTTCTTTGGTGTAACTGTCAAGTAGTACCCTGATACACTTATCTATTGATACAATCAAAATGGTGTTCACACAAAGGTTATTCAAAGGCAAAGAAAACAAATTTGAAAAACGAGCTATGGAGCTACATCTGTATGGTCCTATTCTCAAACAAAATAAGTGGAAGTTTATGGAACAATTTGGAATAAATTGTCTTTTGAAAGCAATTACAAAAGACACAATGTCAGTGAGTGCAAATTTGATCTGGAGCCCTAAGTATTTAGAAGCACATCCTACACTCTACACTTGTGTGAAAGCAGCCTGTGGTGCTTCTCACCAAAGTAAATTAATATTGTGCTTGCATGTGAAAGATACGTCAAATTAAGGGCCATACTACAACCTTACATGGGTTAATAAAGGCTTTGATCAAAGTCAATGTTTTCTAACACACACCTGCTCCTACTACTATTTCAGGGTACCTGACTCAATTCTCTGAAAACAGTCAGCAATATCATTGACTTGCTACCTGAATACTAACAAGGAGGATGATCTTGTCTATCTCTTAATAAAAACAATATTAAAAACACAGACTAAAGTACAATCAGTTCTAAACTAAAGTTTGCAGACATGTAAGTACATCATCCTGGAGAAGAAACTCCTTCTCAAATGAATCCTCATTTACCTCTACATATTTAAGTATCTAGCATTTGCAAGTATAATGGCAACAATCTCGTAATGAGATGGAAAGTGCAGCAATGACATCAGAACAGCAAGGTCCCAGGCTACAACAAGTGAGGATTTGCTCGAATACAACAACCAGGAGCACAGGGGTAAAGGAAATAAGCTGCTTACCTTCAGAAGCCCTAAGTATGCAAGGATCTCCACTGAGAAACCCTTACCTCCACTGCCAACACTTAAATGAGTTCTGGGAAGGGGTGGATCCTGGCTCCATCCCTTCCAGTCACTCAGGTTCATTGCTTGCAGGTGAGTTGCCCTGGGTTGGCCCTGTCTTCCCACCAGGTGCTCAATCACTGTTTCAAGCTATGACTTAGCATTTCCACTACAGATCTACAACCCCTTGCATTTTTTTTATTAGAAAAACAGTGACATAGGTTAAAATACATATGAGGTTGAGGTAATAAAGATTAAAGAAATATATGTAAGATCAGATGATTTTGTGGTTCATCAGAGGTAAAATAATAATAATAATAATATTTAATATTTATTGAATACTTAATTTACTCCAGTTTAATGAGCCATTGCCCTATCTACTGATAATGAAAATGCCTAAATCCACAACCGCAATAGACTACTTAAAAAGCATGTAGATGCCTTCATTCATTTGATATGTTTGTCAATGAAAAACAGCTGCTTCTGCTTTCCATCCTGCTGGACTCTAACATAAGAGATACACAACTCCTAGAAAGAACAGAGGAAGCATTCCAGCATAGAATTCCAAATATTTTACTTCTCTCTGTTGATAGACTCTCAACTATGTTTACAATACCTTCAGAAGTTCTAAGAAGCCAAAGTGATATCTCTTCATAAAAGTTAGCAGCATCAAGTAAACAATACACATTTAAACAAACCACCAGCCAGCACTTCTACTCCATCAGTACTGAATTCTGCAAGAACCATCCTCAACCTTTTGAGAGCACCAACTGACAGTCTGTCCAGTAACACTCCATCCTGATTCCTACAGATACGCCAATGCATTTCCTGTACTTACAGAAAAACACAATCAGTAACGGAAGCCTAAATCTTTACAACTCTGCTCAGGAAGCTAAGAGCTCAGGTCTCTCCTGATCAAGAGACTTTGATGCCTGCTGTGAGTTGTAGTGTTTGATTACAGCAGCTGAGCCTGGGCACAGAGGACAGCATTAAACTTCCTCTACTTAGTTGCCATGAGTCTAGAAGCAATCACATCATCCTCATGTTTCTGGAGACTGTCCCATCAGAGTGGTACTTCTTCCAGACTCAGGGCATTAGCTGCCCTGAGCTCTGCTTATAAGCAATCTTGCTAGAACTCATTTGGAGATACACAGACCCATGTGCTCAACAGATGGGAATATCTGCATTGCATAGTATCAGTTATTTAGCCTAGTGTTTCACTGTACACATCACGTGGAGGCAGAGGTAGAAAATTATATGTACACAAAACTTCTTGTGCAATGATACCTTATACAAATTTTGAATCTGATCAGTGCCTTTATTTACTGTGAAGTGTTCTTCTAAGGACTACCGTTAATGTCTTGCAGCATCTTCAGCCAGTATATGACCCAAATGCACAGCAGAATAAGGCTAGTTCTCTGAACACGTAACATCTGTTGAAGTCACAATATAGACAATTCATTCACTTTTTCTGCTTTACAAAATGTTCGTGATGGATCTTAAAGGTAGTTTTAAATGGCTGCAGATATTTGTGAGACAGACATGACAGTTAAGGTCGGTTTGTTGGTAAGGGCTCTCTTTTCTGACCCTTAACAGTTGATAAAGTTCTAGTCTGGTGACCTTGAGAGCAAAATATAACCATCTTCTTTACTACTTCATAAACTAATTTGTATTTCAAATTTTCTTAAACGAAGCACCTATCTGTCAGGATGATAGGCACAGTAAAGAACCTGCAAAGAGACAAAGAACTATATAAAGCAATCAGAGAAGCCTTTTATTCAGCTGCTACAGTAAATGACAGATAGTCTCATTATGCAATTCCCCTAGCTCCTCTTAACACACCTGACCCCTGGAACTATATCACATGATTCATCAGTACTGTAGTCTCAAAAACAGTGCAGTAATATCTTCTGGCAACGATTTTACCATACTGGTCTTGGGCATGAAGAACTAATGATTCCCAAAGCCCTTACATTCATAACACTGCTCATCCAATGAAAGAAAAAAAAAAAAAAAAAAGACATATAAAACAGAGTCTATAAAGCATTTTCAACATTCCTTATACAAAATATTTTCATATATTTAACAACACAAATAATTATAATGCCTTCTTAGATGCAAATTGCACACAACTCTGTTCAAAAGATTTTGTGTATTTCATGAAGTAACTTTCAATGAGCATTCTTCCATTGGCAAGCCACATCATAGAGCACTGAACAGGAGATAGCACAAAAACAGCAGAACAGATCAAACATGGGTGTAACCTTACCTGTTGCCGCTTCTCAAATTCTAACTTGATCCGGGATTTGATGCAGTTGCATGTGTCCTGATATGTCTGCTGCAGTGCCAGCTCCATCAGGTGTTTGTGGTATGCTCCAGCCAAGTTTCCACAGATGAAAATGATTACATTAGCCAATATCTAGGGAGGTTAAAAAAAATAAACAAATAGCTTCAGGGAATTTATTCAAATAAATTAGCAGAATATAGACCTAATCTGAAGTGAAAGATTGCTGCAGCGATGTATTTTGCTTTTGTCTGATTCCTAGCAAGGGTTCACCTTTTACAAAGCCTTCACATCCAGTGGCAAAGCAATTATACCATTTTCACTGAGTGTGAAATAAGAACATAACAAATGATTGCCTATTCTGTGAGATAGACATTTAACAAAAAAATAAACTCAGTTCATGTCCTGCGTCCACTGCTGAACACCAATTAGGTGGGATCTACTGCTGAAAAGTGACAGCTATGGCTCCTAGAAACACCAGCAGCAGCCAAGTGACTGCCATCCTCTTTTGGCAAGACGCTGTCTTTTGCAGTGCTGTAGGATTAAGGAGTAAAAATACAACATCAACAACCTGGCCTGCATTTTATATCACCCTGAACCACCATAAGCATTAGCTATGAACATCAACCTTCCTGAGGATTTTCATAGTGAGACATGATATCTTTCTTCCAGAATATACTTTTAGCTGCTGCATTTGCCTCAAAAACACAACACTAAATTTATAAAGTTTACACTTGAACTTACAGCAGAGTGCACAACAACACATGAATATGAAAAATAAGTTTTCTTTAAAGTGAGATAAAAGTAATTTAAATGAAACTTTTATTTTGAATTGGATGACAAAGAGATGACAGTGCAAAGAAGAAAATTTGAACTCAAAACTGTTTTATGTTTGATATGTCACAGCACTCTCAACAGATGTAGATTAGTGAACAAAAATTTATGTGAGAGGTTACAGTGGAGGGGTAATGCATGCAAACTGGCAGTTACAGTCACAGCCTCTCTGGGCAATCCGTGCCAGTGCTCCATCACTCACACACTCACATGGTACAGCAGTGCTACCTAATCTTTAGGCAGAACCTCCAGTGTTCCAGTTTGTGCACACTGCTTCATGTTCCATCATGGGGCACCACTGAAAAGAGCCTGGCTCTGCCCTCTTTGCACCTCCCTTGCAGGTATTTACACCCACTGATACAACCCTCCCAATCCTCTACTCCAGGCTGAACAGTCCCCAGCTCTCTCACTGTCTCATAAGAAGAGCTGCTTCAGTCCCTATTTTAGTATCTCTCCATTGGGTTGTTTCTACTATGCCTAATTCTTTCTCATTCTGGGGGGATAAGAATGGGACAAAGTACTCCAGGTACAGCATTACAAATCCGTATGTACAGACCTGTGTTCAAAAGCTGCACATGCACTTACTAAATGTACTATCCAGATTCATAAAGCTACAGACTATTCAATGCAAAACCGCAGGAATATAACCAACCAAAACTAAAACAAAATACACTGAGATAGCTAGATGGAGGAGTAAATTATGAGTATCATCTTTGCAGCCATAGAAAAACAGATTACAGTTTTATAACTGAACCAGATGAAGTGAGAAAATAGATGGAAACAAGTGAGTGACAAGCAAGGAAGCTAATTAACCAGGCTTTTCAGATTCTCAATGGGGTAATACAGCTCATATAAAGCTATGTGCATGCTTCCAGTACCTGAATTAGGCTGTTCAAAGCCTCTTGCCATACACAGTGGAGATGTAACACATAAGTGTGTAAGGGAATATATAATAGAAAAGGTGTTGAGAACAACCTCAATTCTTGTGGCTAGGCAGAATTCATTCAGAAATGTATCACTAAGGCATTAACAGAGAAAACTTACAAAAAATGGGTGAAATGGTCTTTTGCTCAGAGCAACAGATAATTTGTCTGTGTTGCTTGAGCATATATTTCTGTTTCTGCCAGTAAGTTATTGAGTGAAACATAAAGTAGATATAAAAGGCTTAATGGAAAATAAAAATACTTGCTGAGTGCCTCCCTTCTCTTAAATCTTACTTTCTTTTTCTTTTTTTTCCCTGAGCAGCAGCCCAGTTTCAACATACAAGCTGGAGATGAGCACCATCTGAGGTTTGCAGTAAAGTCTCACATGCATTTTCCTGGAAGACACAAGTTCAACGTTTTTTGGACCAATGAAAACTGTACTAAGGTTGCTGCTTCCTAGCCAAATATTCCAATCAGTGTGCAAGCACATGAAATATTCCTCCTGTTGTTCTGTCAGGTGTCTGTTCTGAGAAGAAGGTTCCATGCTCGGAATCATTCCTGGATAAAAGCACTTAGAATGAATTCCTAAATAAAAGCAGCTTTGACATTTCTCTGAGCTAGAACTCTAAAAATCCTGTTCTCTTCCCATATATCTCTCCCTTCTTCCAGCAGATTCACATTGAAAGAGAAGTGCTGTGACCCTTCTGGCAAGAAACTCTGCATTTTGCTATGAGAACTCTCAACAACTGTGCATGTAAAATTATCATCAAAAGCCTTTACAAAAGAATTAAAAGGCACCCAAATAGCCTACACAACATGGTTAAGGATCCTGTCAAGCACAGTAAGCACAGTAAGACTGAGCTACAGAAAAGATTGTAACACAACAGCAGAAACAGTACTGAATGACTTCTAAAACATGAACCTATTTCATCTTTAGAAACAGACATTTTAGGAAGGAAAGCAAGAAACAAAACACCCCCCAGTAATATCCATGAACTATAGAAAGCTTGTACTCCATTTTCTAGATGGAAATACTGAGTCACACAGCAGTCCTACCATCTCTGAACATACAGTGGAGAGGCAAGTCCACCTCTTGGGCTACATGGATCCCTTTAAATGTATGTACTGACTGTATACACTGTGGCGCTTTGTACTTAATGCCTAAATACAATGTCTATTGAAGTTGATTTAAATATGAATAATAATAAAAAAAACCCACAAAGCAAAGACCGACTAGGTACCACCAAGAAGTGTCTTCATATACTCCAAGTGCCAGCCTGCACCTCTAGTCACTCAAGGATGCCTGATCTACCATTCCTAATCTCTCTCTTCTTTGGTATGCTAAGAACTACACATGCTTACAGGCAACAGGGCACTTTCTGAATTGTATTTTTACATTCAAGCAGATATGTTTCTCAATATCAGTGAATATAAAATGGTCTGATGTCTAGTGCTTAACTAACAAAATAGATTATATTTAAAAGCAAATGAAGACAAAGTAAAGTAGCTATGACTAATTTCTCAAGAGAGTTGTAAAGTTAACCGAGTTGTTTACAAAATGCAGTCTGTTATATAGATTACCCTGTAATAGCACAATTTCCTATTTCGACTGATAAAAGCTGCCTACAAATGCATGTGTATACAAGTAAGTACTATGGTATATAAGGAGTAAAGATTTAAATGAAAGCTGAGGAATGGACAAGAGAGGGTATAATTTATAATGTCTGCATGGAAATTAATGGGAGACAAAGAATTATTGTATCACTGTCAAGGTGCAAGTTCTCTGGCTCTGCAAAGACAAATTGTGTCTCTCCCCATTGGATCTTTTTTTGATAGACTGTGTGACAAAACAAGTTAGGAAACAAGTCTGTTTGCTTGGTTTAAGGTTTTAGATTCAGGCAAAATTCAGCCAGAAAGTATACTCTTCACAGTTAAAAGAAACTGAAAAGCAGAATCACACAATCACAGAAACACCAAGGTTGGAAAAGATCTACAAGATGATCCAGTCCAACCATCCACCTATCACCAATAGTTCTCACTAAACCATGTCCCTCATCACAAAATCCAAACGTTCCTTGAACACCTCCAGGGTCGGTGACTCCACCATCTCCCTGGGCAGCCCATTCCTGTGCCTGACCACTCTTTCAGAAAAGCAGTATTTCCTAACATCCAGCCTAAATCTCCCTTGGTGCAGCTTGAAGCTGTTGTCTCTCTCCAATCACCAGTTACATGAAAGAAGAGGCCGACCCCCAGCTCACTACAACCTCCCTTCAGGAAGTTATAGAGAGCAATAAGGTCTCCCCTGAGCCTTTTCTTCTCCAGACTGAACAATCTCAGCTCCTTCAGCTGCTCCTCATGAGGCCTGTGCTCCAGACCCCTCACCAGCTTTGTCGCCCTTCTCTGAACCCACTCCATGGCCTCGATGTCTCGCAATGAGGGGCTCAAAACTGGACACAGAACTGGAGGTGCGGCCTCAACAGGGCTGAGAACAGAGGGATGATCACTGCCCTGTTCCTGCTGGCAATACTGCTTCTGATGCAAGCCAGGATGCCTTTGGCCTTCTTGGCCACCTGTGCACACAGCTGGCTCATGTTCAGCTGAGCATCAACCAATACCCCCAGGTCCATTTCCTCTACATAGTCCTCCAGCCACTCTGCCCCAAGCCTGTAGCTTTGCCTGGGGTTGTTGTGGCCAAAGTGCAGGACCCACATTTGGCCTTATTGAAATTCATCCCGTTTGTTTCAGCCCAGCCATCCAGCCTGTCCAGATCCCTCTGTATGGCCTCGCTACCGTCAGGCAGATCCACACTTCCAGCCAACTTGGTGTCATCTGCAAACTTACTGAGGGTGCACTCAATGCCCTCTTCCAGGTCATCAATAAAGATATTGAAGAGGACAGGCCCCAACACCGACCCCTGGGGAACACCACTTGTGACCAGTCTACAGCTGGATTTCACTCCATTCACCACCACTCTCTGGGCCCAGCCTTCCAGCTGGTTCCTCATCCAGCCAAGACTGTACCTGTTCAAGCCATGGGCTGCCAGCTTCTGCAGGAGAATACTGTGGGAGACAGTGTCAAAGGCTTTGCTGAAGTCTAGGTAGACCACATCAACAGCCTTTCCCTTGTCTACCAGACAGGTCCCTAGAACACAGAAGGTGATCAGGTTGGTCTAGCAGGACCTGCCCTTCGTGAACCCATGCTGGCTAGGCCTGATGCCCCGGCTGTCCTGCACATGCCACGTAATCTCCCTCAATCTGCTCCATAAGCAGCACTAAGAAAGGATATGTTTAGCCACAGAGTTCTTAATTTGCATGGCCACCACACACAATGACAAATACCATTAATTTAGTAAATGTATCAAAAGATTCTCCATCTATT